CAAGAGAAGAGACCTGCTGATAGAAAACACTATGGGAATAGTTTTCCCCCGTGTACAGGCTCTTTCTGAAGGTGACAATCCAGATTTATCCAGGTGTTCATTCCCGCCCCCTTCGGAACGGCCAGATCAGGACGCTTGTTTGCTCTTACAACAAGGAAGTCTGACAATTCACAGAGGGGAGGGCTCCTACTTCACCCTGAGCAGGTCCCGAGTTCAGGCGCCAGCACCTTCCATGAAAAGGGTCAGGTGGCAGGGAGTTGCAAAGACTCCTGCTAGAGACCTGCTGGGACTCACAAGGAGACCTAGAGGAGGGAGATCAATGGGCCTCCTCCGAGGGCGGTTTCTGGGCTCCCTCGCAGGCGAACGGCAGGGTGTGGTCAGGAAAGGAAAAGCCGGAGTTCCTCCTTCTGTGAGCAAAACCCTCCTCGGTGGAAGAACAAGGCAGACCTTGGGCAGCCCGAGTCAAAGGCCGGGGCCGACCCTCCGTCTCCCGTCCCCCCCCCCATGGAAGCCAGCGGTGGATGGTTTCTCCCACACTGATGGTGGGGCGAGGGCCCTCTGCCCCACGGAGGATTTTTGAGCCCACCTCCTTCCAAGACAGGAGAATGGGTGGGAGCGGCTGGGCCGCCCCTCCACCTCTGCTGCCTGAGGCTCTCGCTTCGCTCTGCCTAATGGTAGGGCCGGGTTCCTTGGCGCGCAGGAGAATTTAAGGACTGGACCCGTATCAGACCAGAGAGCTGTATGTGTGTGTCTTTGTCACCTCTTCGAATTAAGCCTGCCCAGATCCCAACCCTATTTGAAAAGGACCTTGTTCGCTTTGCAGAAACGTGATCTTTAACCAGGCCTTTTTTTATCTCTCCATAAAGTTTAGGAGGAGGAGGAGGAGGTGCCGAGAAGGGGGGAGGGAAGGAGCCAGGAGGAAAGGAGCCCCCCCCGAGAGGGGACAGAGGCGGGAGGTCACCCGTGGGTTGGAAAGAGCCAGGTTGCCCAAAGTGGCCAGGGAAACCGGCCCTTGGGTGGAATTTGCGGCCACACAATGTCCACAATGTGGCCACACCTTTGGGAGCTGAAACAGATTCAGGGAGGATGATGGAGCTGCTCAGCAGCCACTGGTCATAATCTGAGTTTAGAAATGGTATTTTACGTTGTCAGGCAAAGGAGAAACGTGGGCTCTGCTCCGCGCTTCATGTAGCCGGTGGTTCAGCCTCCGGTCCGTGGTTTGGGTACCCAGCTCTCGAGGTCTAGCCTCACAGCCTCTTCCTCCTCGTTCTCCGCCACGCAGGGAGGATGCTTAATGCTAATATTGAGGCTCATCATCAAAAAAAGAGAGAGTGTGCTTTCCGGCCTAGAGCATACAAGATTTAACCCCCCCCCCGATGTGTTCTTCATCCTGGGGAAAAGATGCAGGCATGGCATTGCTATTTAAAACCACCTTCAAAACTGGATTACAGAAGATGTTAGTCCACATGTGTTTCTACTCTCCATCCTCATGGCACGCAGGACTTTCCTGGCCTGTAGCATGCAGGCCTATGCGCCCTGTATGTACACCCACCCACTCATATTTTTCATATCCTGGGGTGAATTCGGTCCTTAAAAGCCCTTCCTGTCTGTCTGCTCTCTGTCTACATCTAATCATGATCCTGCCCAGCACATTTGCAGAGTTGGAAGATTAGGGGTTAATTCAGTGGCCTTCAGCTCCAGAAGATTCAGCAGTAATATATCCAGACTGCAGCTGCCTGTGTTGCTCGTGAGTTGGTTTGCTTTGGGTTCTCCGTGCAGCATCCTTAAGACCTCGGCGGCTCATGGCTTTGTTTTAGAGCATGCGTCTTTCCCCTTTGGACTGCTGCCTGTGCAGCCCGTAAGTCTGCTAAAGTAAACACTTCGGAGCTGTGCTGGGGAGAGGAAGCTGCGTGCAAAGGCCAAGATTTCCTGCATTTCACAATCTGCCTGTCAAGAGTTGAACAGGGCGTTCTGCAGCTGGGGGGGGGGCGTTACATGTTGCGCCACTGGCCTCGGTACTACTCCATGGTGTCCCTTCCTTAGATTTCCTTCCACCCTTGAAAAATCTGCACCCATTGTCTTTTTGTTAAACGTTCAACGTAGTCTCAGAGCACCGTTGGAAGATTCCAGCTCCTTAAGATTATGCTGGCAATGCTTTGAGATTTTGGAGTTGCCTTTTGCTGCCTGTAAAACACAGTTGTTAAACCTCCTGTGGCTGTTTTGATCTTTTGACAGCCTGTCTTCAGCCCTCTCTCAGCTAACACAGTCGTTAAACCTCCTGTGGCTGTTTTGATCTTTTGACAGCCGGTCTTAAGCCCTCTCTCAGCTGTCCAGAAAACAGAGGGTTTCTCTTGCCTGATTTGCTTGCATATTTCCCACCGTTGTAGAGGAGGAAATGGATCAAAAAGGCAGTGGCTCCTACCTTCAGAGCTTTATTTGACAAGCAGTAAAGGAGGCCTGGACTGCACGGGGCAGAGAGTTGTACAGCATGTTTATTCTGGCCTTGCCAAGGTGGGGATCGGGAACAGCGGTCCATATATGGCCACCGTTGGATGGGTTTTGCATCAACAAAATCTGACTTCTTTAATTCGTGACAGCACTGGCTCTCTGGTTCCTCAGATCTGGTCCTCCTCGTTAGAGTAGACCTGCTGAAATCTACGGGAGGGAGATGTGTCACCTGCAACCACCTGAATTCCCACAGAAGTCGGTGGGGCTGGTGTGGGTGGGAGGCACATTTGGGCCCAGCGGTGAGCCGTGGAGCGGGTTTGCTCTCCTGGCCGGGTTGTCAGGTCTCCGCGCATCCGCGGCAATCCGCGGGAAGGTTGTCGTTTCTAGGAGGGGAGGCCAGGCTCAGGAGAGACGACACTCGACAAAGAGAACATGTGGCCTTTGTTTGTGCAGCCCATTGAAAGCATCACTTAACCTTCTGCACTCCTTCCCACGCTTTGCGTCTTCCTCCCTGCCTAGAGGAGACAGAAGACATAAATTTCTCCTGCTAGAGACGGGAATCCTTTGTTTGCAGAGCGGAAGGTTTTGAAAACGGGGTGTAGGCTACAGGTTGCCAACCTCCGGCTCATGCTGCCTCCAGCAGCTG